CTGGAGAAGACCAGCTTATTTCACTGGCCATTTTTGGGTGCTGGCAGACCCAGGCAGCCCAGAATACTGCGCTGCACTGGGGATAGCAGTTGACACTCTTGGTTGGTGTGGTTGCCCACATCATAGCTTAAAAGCATGAGGGGGTCATTCACCCTTTCCTTCCTTCACCTTCATTTATCCATAAATGTTGACCCCATGCCCACCTGCAGAGGGGCGTAAGCAGGCACTGGGTACCCTGTTCAGAAGCACAGCAGGGGACAGGGGAGTGGGAAAGGGGAGAGCACAGCAGGCTCCTTATTTACACAGGGGAGCCTTTTAATTATAATGAAGTAAATCTGTTACCCTAAAAAATCAGCTTGAAAACCCAAAGGTGAAGGCCACAAATTAAATTTAAAGCAAGACATATAATTAAAAATACTAAACAAGATAAAAGCAAACCAACCACAGTCTACAGAGAAAAAGAAAGCAGAGACCCAACTGCCATAACCTCCGCCGCCAAGCTGCCCAGAGGGGCTTAAAAAGTCCAGTTTATATTAATCATAAAAACTGCTTTGCAAACAGACTCAGTACTAAAAGTCAATTTTGGGGGGGGAGGGTGAGACAGAGTCTCACTTTGTCACCTCAGTAGAGTGCCTAGTGTCATAGCTCACAGCAACCTCTAACTCTTGGGTTCAAGCGATTCTTGTGCCTCAGCCTCCCAAGTAGCTGGGACTACAGGCACCCACCACAACACAGAGCTATTTTTAGAAACAGAGGTCTTGCTTTGGCTCAGGCTGGTCTCGAACCTGCAGGCTCGGGTGATCCACCCGCCTCCGCCTCCCAAGTGCTGGGATTACAGGAGTAAGTCACTGCAGCCAGCCCTAAGGGTTGAATTTTGAAGGGTGGCTATGGATTAATCAAGCCACAAAAACAAAGAGGAAGTAGGAATGGCAATACTAATTTTAGAAAAATTGAATCCAAGACAAAAAGGCTTAAAGGTAACACAGGTGCCTTTTAAAATGATAATAAGTGTGAGGGCAGCGACAGGTGCTGCAGAGTCCTGAAGCACAGCCCACCAACAGCAACAGGAAAACTCACAGAAGCAAATGTGTCTGAGAAATTTCAAAGAGACTTAATACTTGGGAGGCTGAGCAAGAGAATCATTTAAGCCCAGGAGCTGGAGGTTGCTGTGAGCTCTTATGCCACAGCACTCTACTTTAGAGGGCAACAAAGTAAAACTCTGTCTCTAAAAAAAAAAAAGGACATATTGATTTGGGGTAATATAATTGATCTGTATATTGATAAATAATTACATATCTTATGCATATATAAAATTATAAACTTTCTATAAAATCTGTATCACCCTAATATATACTTGAAAACACGCATTGGAAATTAATAAAAGTATGATATAAATTAAACTAGGCCGCAAAATTTCCTGAGTAAAACTTGAACATGAAAAAGTGGAAAAGCCTATCAAATACGTTTTGTTTCAAAAGAAAATAAAACAATAGTCACAGATAATTCCGAACAAAAGCAAATGAGAAAACATCTAAGTTATAGAATAATGGCAAAACCACGCTCAAAGGCAAATGAATAGACTTATATGATTTTACTACTTTTACAAAACAAATGAATAAAAGCATGAACAAAAAGGAACTCAAGAAGTTTTATAAAAAACAACAAATCTCACTATTGAAGCCGGTCTTGCTCTGTCTCAACCCCATGTAAGTTTTGTCCCATCCAATGGGGAAAAAAACAAAAACATAAATCTAAGGATAGCAGAAAGAAGAAAATCTAAGACATAATTATTTTTTAAAATTATGTGGGAAAGACAAAAAGAACAGTTCAGTTTAAAATGACGAAGGGAGCACACACATGAGTGGTTTTCTTTCCACTCGTAATAGGACAGCGGGTGCTACGCAAAGTCTGTGTGTTTGGAGACCCTGTGGAAAGAGCAGCTTCTTGCCCCAAATTCACACAGTAGAAAGTGTGAGCATATTTTACTGGCACTCTCAGAAGTCAATTAAAATTTTATGAGAGATGTATCTACAAAAAAAGATCATTTTTAACAAATATCAGGCAGTTGATAATAACAAGGATAAAGAAAATTTTTCAGAAATTTTAGGGAAAGAATGAATACTATTCAATTTATACCACAATGCTAATATTGTTGGGATGACAGCATGCGGTTCTGTTTCTTATTCTGGCTGCTGACTCTCTCCACCAGGCAGAGGCCTGGCCAGAATGCACAACATCCTGAATAGGGAATCTGAACAGTGCAAGATATAGGTGAGGGCTAGGCTACAGAGACCAGCAGGCCAGCAGCAGAGAAACCTCAGGTCAATAGGCAGCTGGAATCCCGAGGAAATGAAGGAGGGGCTGTGACCTTCACAGGATTGTGACTTTCACGAGGCTGTGACCTTTACAGGGCTGTGACCTTCCCTGGGTCTGTGACCTTCAAAGGATTGTGACTTTCATGGGAGTGTGACCTTTGGAGAGCTGTAACCTTCTCTGGGCCATGACCTTACCTGGCTTTGACCTTCCCTGAGCTGTGACCTTCACAGGATGGTGACTTTCATGGGGCTGTGACCTTCCCTGGATTTGTGACCTTCATAGGATTGTGACTTTCATGGGGCTGTTACCTTCACAGAGCTGTAACTTCCCTGGCCTGTGACCCCCTTCAACTCAGCCTCTAAACCTGGGGGATATGCCAGGAGCTATGGCAGTCTCATGCTCTTCCCTCTATTCTGGGAGGCAATTCACTGGCCAGACCCCCAGAACCAGAAGCTAAGGGGATCTGGTGGTACCTGAGGTCCAGCAAGCCCAGTCTTGTAAGCAGAGTAGGGCAGAGTCTGGAGAGTACCCACCCCACATCTGACTCCTCCACAGAGGCACCTGGTCCTGGGCTGGGGTGAGTGGGCTTATCTGGGTTCAGTCTTCACCAGGAAGTAATGTGGAAGTCCAGCCTAGAGAAGGCGATAGCTCTGTCCCTACTGCGCCCCACCTAGCACCTTCTGTGGTGTAGACAAGTGAAGAAACTTTACTGAAAATGATCAATGAAGCCTCTAGCATTACATATAAAAACCCGATAATGAAAAAAACAAACAGAGCAATTCAAACTGTGGCTTTTATGTGGACAAAGGCTATGCATAGGAAATACATAAAAAAGAAAATTCCAATCTCTGTCTATGTGTATTTTTTTACTGTTTGCGATTCATGGAGAGTAAGTATACGTGTATTTTAAAGTTTTAATCTCCCTTGCAGGTGAAAAGACGAAGATAAGGTACCATTTTTCACAATAAAACTGGCAATGTTTTAATGACCACATTTACTCTGCTAAGAAGGTGCCACTGAGCCCGATTTCCCAGAGGTGGACACTCTCTGGACTTGCCTGGCAACATGCTTCTGCCTACCGTGTGCAGCCGCAGCTCTATGGGCACAGAGAATGCTCCTACACAGGCATGCTCCACACCTATTGTCCCAGGCCTCCCATCCTCTGCTCTTTGCTCAAAATGAGCTTCCCACCCAGACCTAAAGTTCCAGGTCACTCGGGACAGGGCACCACTATCTCTGGGCATGATCTAAAGAGAGTGAATAGTTCAGACACCTCCAAAGCGAAAGCAGAGATCACGATGGCTTGAGTTGAAAACACTTTGCTTTTTACAGAAAAGTCTCTCATGGGCTTACAGATGACAGCAGCCTGCTCTCTCTGATGAAAAAGCCAGTAAAGGCAGCTATACCAGACACACACACCCAGCTCGTGATCCCACGAGGACCGAGGGGACCGCCAGAGGACCCAGCTTCTTCCCCTGTGGGGTGGAGATGAACATGAACATTTTCTACTCAAAAACTGTGGCTCTAGAATATTTTCTCCCAGGGGAAAATGAAATTTTAAAATTAAACCTTTAGGAAAGATCCTCAAGTTGTTTTTTTTTTTTTTAAATGAAAAATAGAATACTACACAGCCACAAAGAAAGAGGGAGACTTTGCCTCATTCACGTTTACATGGATGGAGCTGGAAAATGTCCTCCTTAGCAAAGTATCTCAAGAATGGAAGAAAAAGTATCCAATGTACTCAACACTATGATGAAACTAATTGTTAGCTATCTTA